TTTTCATTCTTTTTTTCTTTCTTCATTTCAATCACACATTCTATCAATAAAATAATATTACACATAAACCTAAAAATTCTCCTTACTTTTTAACCACACATTCTTCCATCAATCACTATTCAAAAACACATTTTTCCACAAAAATGGGTGTCAAACACCCATTTTGGACCGACAATTCAACCCAACTTCACAAGATCTCAAACACAAACATTTGAGTCGAAAACTTTTTAACATTGAAGCTTTGATTAGGAAATTATGTGAAAAATAACTATGTATATTGAATATCGGATGTAAATTCCACATACAGCTAACAATATTGCCAAATTCACGTCGTGAAAGGATCTGCATCACAAGAAAGATCATAAAAGTAATAGCTAACATGCGTGCAATATGCATATCTAACAGTCGATGCAAGGTAAACAATGAGCATAGTTGTACTAGTATCCTCAAAAAAGGAAAAAAATCATAATAAAAAATTGATAAGATTTCCATCCATTGTAATCGTTAGGTGTTAGACATATTGGTATCAAGGGAAAAAAAATACAAATGATAATCAGATAATGTATATAAATAAGGTTATGTGCATTGTATAATGTCAACACCATAAATTAACAAGGATGCATCAACCCACTGTACTAAATTTTTACATCAAGAACAAGTAAAAATAATTTCGCAAAAAAGGAATGGGCTTATTAAAGGAGATAACAATGGAGAAGCAAGCCTAGCTAACCTGTTAGTCTTTCAGCAGCAGCTACGTTTTAACAAGCAAACAGGCTACTCAGTAGAGTTTTATTCTGGTTTGAATTGAACTCCGGCAAATTGGACAAAGCTGAAGGTCTTTTCCACAGTCGCAACATGTCTGAAGAAAGAACAATCACTCTAAACATTAATATTTTCCATAGATTCATCCAAGTACAATTTGATGACTAGTAAAAAACACAGTTGGTCACCGAAATTTTTTTGTTTCAAATTGACCAACGGGCTTTCATTTTTATTTTAGTTTAGCTGTTTAGGCACTTCATCTACTACAAAAGCAGTCACGGCTGTGATGGGGAGGGGGCTGCAATATATACATAAATTATTTTTTTTCTTTTGTTTTTTGGTACTTCAAGAAATGCATTCAAAAGAACAAATAGTCTAACAAGACACATTTTTCTTCAATTCGACAATAAAAAATTGTATTTATCAAGCCACGTCATATTTTCTGTTGGCCACAGTAGTATTCCCATTAATTTAACAGAGAGAGTTAAATGAAGAGCCTAAACTGAAAATTGAAGTTTAGTAACTAATTTAGAACAAAAGTTCTAAAAATACTTCAGTGACCAAAGTAAAATAGTGCTATAAGTTGGGTGAAACTCTGATTTTAACCAGTTTACAATAGATCATTTCACAATACCTGATGCCCACAACCAAATGCCATGTCCTTAGGGTTACTGAGGCAAACAGCACAAATCTGTCCAACACAGAGAAAGCTATCAGCATATGTTTACTGACATTTATAATCAGAAAGACAAATAAAACTTGTCCCAGTACTAGTATTTTAGGATGAACTACCAAGGTATACACAAAAAGTAGAGGCATATAAAGTTACATGCATATAGAATTTACCTGGTTGTCATACGTTGAGCTTGGAGCTGATGGAACTGCATCGACAGAACTGTTGGCATCATAATATGAACTTGAACTCGCAGAACTGTTGGCATCATAATATGAACTTGAACTCTGCTGAAAACTAGTCGCACGATCAAGTTTTGAATTGGTGCCAGATGCTGCACCATAGACAGGCGGTGGAAGAGGAACCCTCTCTGTGGCATGTCCTTTTTGTCTGCTAAATCGTGCGAAACAACAAAAAATGAATACTTTAAGTAAACATGCATAAAGGGCATGTTTGGTACTAGTGTAGGAATGAATTGGACACTATACTAGACGAGATTTTAGCTGCTTATATTTTTTTGCAATAATGTCCAGTACTATATTGTCACACTACCTAACAAACCAATAGGGACCATGTATGTGTCTGCACACCAATGCAGAGAGAGAGAGAGAGAGTAGATTACCCCAACAAATTAAGCTCTATTGTTGCTTTATATTGAGATGGAATTTCCATCAATGCTGAAAGAGCAAATTCTGTCTCTTTTCGAGATTGGTGCACATTTTTGCACATAATCTCTGTGAAATTTACAAACTGAAGGAGAAAATAGTTTGTCAGTTAAACATATCAAATATATTCAAGTAAAGGTCTAGAGGCTCAATAGAATTTACCAAATATAACAAGCTATAAAAACTGACCTGGAAATTATCAAAGTCCCGAGCTGGAATGTTATCATCAAATTCCTTCATCATGTCCCAGGGTCCATCTCCGACACCGATCAAAATGATAGACAATGGCAACTTGCTGACAACAATAGATCAACAAGGAGAGTTGACAAACTTCTCTTTATGATAAAAAAATGACAGGCATATCAAAAGAGGACGCGAAAAATTTACCTTGCTTCAACAATAGCTTGAACAGTTCTCTGCTCCTGTGGACTTAGCTGACCGCGTTCAGTATCGACACTTCTTGTAACCTAGGGTGATATACCACTTTTAGCATAACAAATTCACATATGGAATGTTGAGTAAAAATAATATTTCTACCAAAATCACATAACTTGTCTCTTATAAGCTATGTGCCTACCTAATAAGCACAGATTCGGATATGTAATTTGAATATGATACGATACTGGTGCGTCAATACAGCTTTTGAACAATACTTGGGATGGGAGAATATGTGTGTGTAGTATTTTTCATAAATTAAATATAAAATTCAGCATAATTTTATTATTACAAAAAAAAAATTAAAACAAATGTTTAACAATAAAAATAAAATAAAATAAAATACTAAACATGTTATATAAATCCTTAATTATCCCAACTTCATTTTTTTTTTCAACATTATCACCATCAACTTTTTCATTATTATTAAGAATAACACTATTCAACTCTGACTCATCTATTGAAGGATTAGCAACCTCAAGCTGCCCATCACCTTCAAGAATATCAAACACGTCTTCGACAATGCCCTATATTTTTGGATTCTCCTTTTAAATAAAAAATTATTTTTCTTGATAAAAAACGTAAATTGCTATAAATAAAGAACAATTCTACAATTCAATGTAAAATTATTTTATTCCTTCTCATAGAGTGCACAAAAGAGTAGGTGGTCCTTTTTTAACTGATAAATATTATCTAATAATAGTTATCTATTAAGTAAAAAACTGTCAATTATAGCCAATAATAATATAATGAGTTTAAAAAAAGTTTAAAACCAATAAAACTTTTCTTCTTCACGTATCCCAAGGTGTCGAATATGTATAAAAAAATTTAAAAATATAAAATAATTAAAAAAACACATATATGGTATGTATCAAAAAGTGTCCAAGAGTATTCAAGCTTGGAAACGTATCGGATATGGGTACGCAATATGTTAACAAGTATCCGTGCTTCTCAGTTGCCTACGCCCTTCTCAATAACCATTTACTCCTAGTAAATCCTATCTTGAAGATTTTTTTCCCCTTCACCTGCTTAGTATGTTCAAAATCTTAAAATATGGACAAAATGACTTACCTGTCCATCTGCAATAATTAGTAAAACATGGTATTGTCCTCCACTCTGCTCAACAATACTCATGGCCATTTCAATAACAGGGGCAAAGGATGTTGGTCCTGAAAAAAAGCGAGAAAAGGGCTAAGCTATGTATTCCAATTACGTCAAAGTCTAAAGCTGGGGGAGAGCCTGCGACAGACGAGATATCAAACCTGCAAGTTTTAGATGAGGAACAATCTCTCTGTAACGACTCAACACCTCTTCAAATCCATTGCAAAATCTTTCATCAGGATAGAAGCTGAATACGTCTTGATCATGTGTTGATGCTGTCAAAATTTATAGGAACAGACAGGTTATAACTCGTACTGTTTGAATAAGAAAATTCTGGTTATAAACTTGAACTAATAGAATAAATCGATTCTGAAATTTTAGAAACAATATCGAGTTATGATGTAATACCATCTCCAAATCCAAAACAGGGAATCAAGTTATCTTCATCAAAAGCCCCCAGGGTTTTCCCAATAATGGATATTGCTTGTTCATAAGGATTCAAACCACTTCCGATGTGATGTAAGCTTCTACCATTGGATGATCTCTTACCTAATAACAGATCCATGTTCAGAACGGTTTACTGTACCTCATAATACATAACAAGATTCCTAAACAAAAGAACACGAATCTCAACCTGTCCATTCATTGCTCTTAGTGAAATCAATACCAATAATTAGATTTGAAGACTCGAGGCCAGCACGTGCAAGAGCTTCAGTCACCTGAAGAAAATAGTGTCATACTTCCAACTTACAAAAAGACAGATAAAATTCAATACAAAAAATATTTAGGAAACTTTGAAAATAATACAGGAAATAAATAAAACCATCGTATGCATTAAAACTCTGACAACATGTACACTGTACCCATAAGGTAAAATAATCAGAAGAAAAATGATTCAGCTTTTCTATACACTGCAGCGTTATCTCTGACCTGCACCAGCCACCTAAGTGATACATATCACCCTGATGTTTGTGTACTTTAAAATTGATGACATGCAATCAATTTATTGTCAGATATCCATCCCAATATTGCGATTGAGTAGCATTTTTAGTATTATGTTACTCTTAGTGAACCACAACGCAAGCCATAAGTAAACAGGGCAAACTCATATTCCAATCACATCATGCAAGCTGAAACTTGAAAATGCATCCAGAGGGCATTCATTGGACGTATTCCTCAAATCTAAGCATTCATTCCCCCTAAGTCCGTGCTTTTACCTTGTAAATCATGGCTTTTGTAAGCTTAGGTCTACTTTTCATCTCAAAGCTTATTCATTGTTGCTAAAGCTACTAGTAAACAGCCTGCAGCGTTGGTGAGCACAAGAGTGACATAGCAATTGTTTAAGGTCCAATTCTCCT